TTTACTGTGCAGCATTTCACAACATTTACTATGATAGTTTCAACTCAACAGCGCTCTCTGTTGGTGCTCTAAATGAACTAGCTTTGACTTGTGCAGTTGTGTCCTCTCAGCCTCATATTTTAAATGTACCGCCCCCTGCTTCTCCCCTACATATAGCTCTTGTATAAATAGATTTATTTCTTCCCTCCACAAAGAAGAACTACTAACACTTTCCTCTAATTTTATTTCTGCTACTGAGTTAGAATTTTACACTGATGGATCTCTTGCAGACATCGGTCTTCCTTCAATTAAAATGGGAATTGCTTGGTTACAATCCCACCAAAATTCGTCTATAGCTTCCTTTAGCACCGCTTTGGCCTCCAGTTTTCCATCATCGTCAATACCTGAATCTGTAGCCTTATTTACAGCACTTTTGACTGCCTTCCAAACTGCAAAGTCAGAGTGTATACTGACTCAGCCATTATCATTTCACAATTCAAAAAATTTAGTTTTCTCAAAAAGCAGTCTCCTACTTTCAGACCTTTTCTGAAAATCAACAATTTTGTGCTTTGGTCTTGTCTATTTGAAGTGATTTCTGTGCACAACCTGGACGTCCATTTGATAAAAGTCAAAGCGCATTCAAACAATTTTTTGAACAATAAGGTAGACGCTATGGCAAAAGATGCCTTCACTTTTCCTGTCTTGCAACTTAATACGATGGCTACTCTACAAAGTTTCTTTAATTACAACAACCAATCTATTCTTCTTCTAGTTAAACAATTCGTAAAGAAAATCTTCCGGCATAAGCATCTTCAGCAAATTTTATTCCTGCATGTAATCAACAAATATAACCTATTCTTTAAAATCAACTGGTTTGTTATCTCATTCTGCCTCAATGACAATGTCGTTACCAATCACACATCATATGTAGCTTCTACTACAAGAATGAAAAAGTTCCAACGGTTGCTAGAAATGCTTCCTACAGTTGAAATTCTGAAAACTAGACATTCGTCTCTTTTCCTGTCTTCAGCCCTATGTTCTCGATGTAAGGCTGCGGACGAGGATTTCTTTCATATATAAACCTGTCCGATGGTCGACTACCAAATAAAATTGTTGATCTAACGAGTTAAAGACTACCTTAGAGACATTACCAATGCATATTTAAATGATATTGATAATTTTAATTGGTGGAACCTCTCAACATCCTTCTCCTTTGTGGTTCTCATTAAAGGCATTGTTCCCACTACCCTCTTTGAATTAATCCATAACAACCTTTCACACATGCCTACAGCTTTAGCTATGTGCTCATCCCTTATGCACTTCATTTATGAAGAATCATAACAATTTTGGATTGAAAGGTATACCCGTCAATCCGTTATCGAAAAAGCTACCAACATTAATCTTAAAGATAAAAAGGACAGTTTCACTTCTTCAGTTTTTGATCTTTCTCTTGGTATTCTTACTAACAACAATAACGCTGATCCAATAATCACCATAGTGCAACTTGGATCCCACTGGACGAATTTTTGGTGCAGTAGTGGCCAAGCCCTCTCCTGTTGTATTTTCATTTATTACTCAGAAGTGATAGTTTTAGCTTAGGTTAGAATTGATTCGAGAGAGTGCAGTGTCAGTCTTTTATAGTTTAATTTTTCTTTTCTGTATGAGATTTTCACTTTTTCTTCTTGATTTGTATTTTATTTTATTTTATTTTATACTTTTATCATAATAAAGATTATGTAAAACTACCGCACTTTAAAAAAAAAAAAAATATTTAATATAATAAAGGATTGGCGTCTCTAGTTTAGTTGGTAACAACTGAGCTCCTATTGTGGGTTATACTGCAATAGCCACAAGTTCAAGTCTCAGCCGAGGCATAAAACTAGATGATTTTTATAAGAATTTCATATGTAACTGAATATGTAGGTGTATAAACTAATATGCGTTAGAAACTGATCGATCGACCTGTCGATTAGCGTTAATCATGCCTAAATACTGAAATTTGCAGAACAAGTGGATGCAAATAAAGCCAAGGATCAACAGAAACTTGGCTGACGCTGATAGGCCTGTAATGGGTACTATCTCACGTCTTCAATTTCAGGGGTTCTTATACAAGTAAGGAAGTAATTAATCAATAATTAGTAGATTAGATGACATCTTGAGATATTTTTGAGGTGATTATGATTGATAATAGACTGCATTGCATTGTCGCAATAACCATCCAATCGAGCTATTACTTGGAGTAGAGGCCAGGTTCAATTCCTGGGTGAATTTGACGATATGGGTACGATAGCCACTTACCTTTCTAAGGTTCTATACAGATGATAACATCTAAGCCTTCTCGATCATGTGTAAAAATATACCTTGATACTGAGCAGAGGTAATAGTATCCAGATATGGTGTTGGTAAAAACAGGGAAAAATTGACAAAAGTACCTGTGGCTGAAAGTGATCCCTCTATCCAAATTTGATAGTAGTTCTGAGGTTTAGGTACTTTGAGGGTTAGCTCTTGGGAGTCGACCTAGGTGGCAATCTTCAGATCAGTATTACAGGGCAGGTTCTGGCTAGAACTAGAGTCTAGACACGACCTTGTGGGATTCTTAGGTGTAGAGGATATTACTTCAATACTTCTTAAATACTCTGTTTACAGATTTCTATGTACCGGATACTGCAACTATAAAAAAAAAATATATATATTTAATATAAATAATAATATAATAAACAATTATTAATTTATTTAATCAACTTTGTTATTTCTAATTTAACAATAATAAATTATTCAAGAAGAATGATTGGTTGACCTAAATTTTTATTAGGTTGAATCAGGTCAGGTCAATCTGATGACCTGACCTAATATCAACCTGAAAATCTATTGATTTGACATAAATTTTCAGGTCAGTTCGGATCAGCCAGATTATATAGTGTTATTTAGATCATATAGTGGTATTTCACTTTACTTATAAATTTTTGGTATTACCTTAATTTTATATAGATTTATATATATTCTATAAATACATATTCTCTTTAAATGCATCTTTATATCTAGTTCCAAGGGAAGTGCATTTATAGAAGTTGATTGTATATATTTTTAATAAAATTTATGATTAAATCATTCAAATTTTTTATTTTATTAATTTAAATTATAAAAAACTTATTTATATTAATTTAAAATTTTAAAATATTAAATTAATAAATTTTTAAAATAAAAATAATATTTATTTAATTAATATAATTTTATAATTTTTTAAATAAATAATTTTAAAATGTTATTATTAATTAAAAATTTATTATTTTATTATTCTTTATAATTGAAAATTCTTTAAATATTATAAATTATTATTTTCAAAAAATAAAAAAAAATAAAGTAAAAAAAAATTTTCTTTAAATTTTAAATCAAATTTATTAAAGAAAAATTAATAAAATATATTTTAAATTTTAAAGAAATCAGTTTATTTTTAACTAATTATAATAATTATAAAAAATTATATGGGACCTTTTGCAATAGAAAGGCCGGAAAAAATCAATTTTACTTTTATATGCAAAATATGATTTTTAGGTCTAAACATGTTCAGATTTAGCATTAACGTTAACTCATATTTTATTTTTTCCAGCCGTTTTCCCCTTTTCAATTGCAAAGGTCCATATGGAAATATTACTAGTAGCAAATATTCTCAATTAACAATATGATTCAGTATGCAATTAAAATGACAATGTAATTATGTCAGAATATAGTTGACTTTTTTTCAGAAAGAGCAAAAATGGCATATTATTCAAAAGATCAAAGCATTCTTTTATCTCTTCTACTTAATATTTCTAATAAGATATATAAGTTTAAATTAGCCCGTCGATTTTTATTTCTAAAAACAGGGTTATTTAATTCTTAATATTATTGTTTTATTTGTGAAATTTAGACTTAGCCGCAATGTAACTAACTTGTGAAGCTCAAAATTATGATATTTTGTTTTATAATACAAAAACAGAACAAGGTATGGTAATTCTAGTTTGTGCAAATAAAAGGAGTCACGACCGGATTTAGCTCATTTGTGGCAGATTTATATCAAATTTAAGCAATGGGAAGTGATTTTAATATCAATCATTAACAATATGGTTTTTAAAGTTTTAAAAACTTATCATTGAAAAGTAATCTTGTTTTACATAAAAAGTTAAATTAAGATAATGTTCATGTTACTCTTCTTTTAAACAAAGAATAAAAGGAAGTTTTTTTGTTTTGGAAAAATTAAAGTATTCCACAGAATAAGCAACTCTGTGTTCATGTTCATTGTTTTTTTCCCGCCAAATTTAACAGGCTGTGTAACTAAGCTGAACAATACACAGCCGTAACACCCGCCTAAATATGATACTGGATCTGAGACTAATTATAAAACTTTTGTGTACTAGTGGCGAAAGATATTTCCATCCCTCGGGTTCTTCTTGAAACAAACAGCAAAGTCATACAGTATGTGCCATCACTTACTTAGATTGCCAAGCCACTGTTTCAAGGGATGCCCGATTGGTTGGTTTGGGTGTTCACTTTGTAATAATCTAATTTTATCCTATAATAGGACATTACATCATTTATTATACTTTAGGAAAAATTCCATTCAATTCAAATTAAACAATAAATACCAAAATGGACCATTGTGAACAGAAACAAATCGTTTTGGTAAGATCTTGCATTTGAGTACTCAATGCACTCAATGCATTCAATGCAACAATCGAACAAGATTTAATCGATATAAACGTCCTCGGTATTTTTCAACTCACTTTCAACAACTTCTTTAAATCTCTATTTCAATTTTTTTTTTTTATATTTCGGAATTTTATTGAGAAAATATTTTATTATATTTTCTCTTTAAAACCGAAAATAAAAAAAAAAAAAATTATATTAGAACAATCAATTATTTGCTTGATACCCTAATTTATATAATATAATTACATTTAATATAAAAAGCTTCAGTATTTTACCAGTTTACAAGGAATAAAGTTTCCTTGTAAATAAATTGTATATATTTTTTCCTAATAATAATGTCCTCCTCTCTTTCATATGTTAATGCATCGCAAACGGATAACTGTGAGTGGACAATTTCCGTAACAAATTGTTTTGGTCAAGAATACTTTCAAGTCGTATATGGAGTTACAACATATTTATCGCTTTTTGTGCTCTTAAGCTCTGTGTGGTTGTTATTATGGCGTCTTTATCGCAGTCAAAGTGTGACGTTGTTTAGCACAAAAGGTTTCTTATCATTAGAAGGTTATCTATTCACACAGATATTCTGGAGTTTTGGTAAATACTTTAAAATTTTTTATTTCGATTCGTATTATGAAAAAAAAAACTAATTATACTCATCCTCTCTCCCTCTCTCAGCTCGAGTGATTAGCAGCCTTATACTAATCAATGATTGGTTCCCTGAGCAATGGATCATACGTGAAATCGTAATAGAACTAATGTGGTTTCTTGGAATAGTTTCCGTGGCAACCTATCTAGCAGGTGTATTACGTACAATTCCACGAATGCATTTCTATAGACAAAATACACATTATAAGCATGCTTTACATCTTCCAACTTTACGTGGCATAGCGAGTATATATGTATCGTATGTTTTGGTGCTTGGTATAATTAGGATTACTTGTGCCGCATTTATAGGATATCATCGTCAATATCCAACTGAAAATTCTGCTACAATGATTAAACATTTAATTACAGTATATTATTGTACTTGCTCCATAAGTACTTTATTAGTAACTATTGGATTTATAATTTATGGTAACAAATTGGTTGGAATCGCTAGCGAAGGTCTACATTTATTAGAAGGTGTTAGTGGTTATCCTTCCTCACCAAGGAAAAGTTCTCGATTCAGCCATAATATTAAACAGAATACCTATAGTGGTATTAGTGCAGAATTGGAAGTAAAGCACAAAAAATTACAACGTTCTGTAAGAAAAGTATGTATGATATATCTTTTAGCAAGTATAAAAATTGAAATACATTCGCATTTTATTAACCTTTTGATTCTTTTCATTGTGTCATATCTAGATGCGTGTAATCAATGCGGCATTTATTCTAAGTTTTGCGACTTTATGTGTTATTTTAGGTTCGTCTGCCTTCTTGTATGAGCAAATCTTTAAAAATATCGAAATTAGCAAAATATTGGCAGCTATTACAAATTGGATGCCAATGATACTGAACGTTAGCGTAATGGCCGGAATCGCCTATGGGTATGTACCTTGAACGTTTTATTCATATAGAATATCACCAAAATCAACTTAATAACAGCTATTTTGTTTTTCTCTTTCCTCTCTTTTTAAAATTAGTGAAATGAGAGTACCTGACGGTTCAGAATCACGATTTGATAATCAGATAATGCCAACAGGTTCAACCTCAACATCCGCTACACCACAATCTCCCACGATAGAACGTATTTCTTCTGAAACAGGAAGTTTATTTCATTCACGTAATAATTCGACAGACTCCGATGTTTCCCTATTACGTCGGCCCGCTCCCGTTGCCACATTTTCATCTCGAAGAGGTTCGGCACAATTAGATTCTTCTCCAAATACTACATCGTCTACATATATGGTTATTGGTTCTTCTCCTTTAACAACATTTACAACATTTTCCGTATCTTCACCATCCGATGCATCAAGTAAAGAAAATATATCGATATTCGTATTACCTTGAAATGATAGAACTGAATGCTTTTATTTATGTAGATTTGATGTAATATTTATGTAACATATTAAAAAAAAAAAAAAAGATTATTTGGATTTGGATAATATCATTCATTACATGTAGGGAGGAGCAAATAAAATATATATTTTTGGGGGGATTTAAGAGTTGGCATATATTATACGTTAGAAATATTATATGGGATTCAATTGGAGAAAATATGGATTTGAGATTCATTTTTATTCTCAGCTTTCACCCTTAATATTTTGGTTAAGTAAACTCATAACAAATCATCATACTTTCATTTATTTTATCAATTATCTTTTAACATTCTCAACTTTTCATCAATATCTTTTCTTTTCGTTATAAATTCCATCCTTTTACCAAAAATGGTTCATATCCATCACATTCTCAACAAAAATCATGACATGTTTAATATTTAGCCATTATAATTAGTCTTTAGTTTATTTATATTTGTTTTATTCTAGTATCATTGTGATGATGTACTTTTTTTTTCTTTGATACATTGAAAACCTATATTATATTTTAATAGTAACATATATATATAAATAATAAATAAACAATAAGATTTAATTATAGAAATCAATTTATATAAAAATTTTTAAGAATAATTACCTTTGAAAAATAAACATTTTTGGTTTATATTTATATTAATGATTTTGAAATATTAAATTTAATATCATAAATCAAATATATTAAAGCAAAATATATATATAAATATTAGATTTATTAAATATAAATAATAAAATTATAATCATTTATTATTAAAATGTCAAATATAATATTTGTTAATATATAATTCAAATTTTTTTAAATTTATCTTTTATTAATTTTTTTTTTTTTTTATGATTATTCTTCAATATTTACATAGAATTAGAATTTAAGGCTAAATTTACTTTTTTTTTAGAGATGCATTTACATTGATGATAGATTGAAATGAAGCTAAATGATAAAGGCTAATCACCTGAAGTTTTACTGCTGATTAAGAGTAAGTATAACATTGTTATATACATCTACCAGGGGATTGCCATCTTAGTTATAGTCCACTTCACCTGAATTTGACATTAGAATCTGTTTAACTAAATCCCTTTTGAATTTTTCATATATTAGATTTAAATAGAAGGCTTACTTTAACTACAGTGATTAATAGTTACTGTTTTTACAAATCTAATTTATATGAGTTTACACTAAAGATGGCATTGCAACATTGTAACACTTATTTGTCACCTGTTGCAACTTAAATTTTAATAATGTTGCAATTTGTTGCAACATTGTGATGCTTATTTGTCACCTGTTGCAACTAATTAAGGCGCTATCTTTAGTTTATACTATGGATACCTTTTGAGATCATAGAATCAATTCTTTACATAGATGGTGATTTAGTATCTATATCATCAAATACATCTAAAAATTGAACTTGATCTCTATCCCTAATTATAATATGATTTAATTCAGAACTGTAGTGTACAATATAGTCTATTATTTCTGATATATTTTAAATTTACTAATTACTGATTAATTACTTTTTTATTTGTGTAAGGACCTTTGAGTTGAAGACGTGAGACAGTATTCATTATAAATCTATCAGTGAAAGTCAAGTTTCAATTAATTTTAATTTCATTTGCATCCACATGTTCTTCAAAACCTAATATTTAGGCATAATTAATATTGATCAGCAGATTGATCGACCAATTTCAAATATATATTAGTTTATATATCTATATGTTCAGTTACAATTATTAATATTTTATTAAATATTATATAAACTTATTTTATTTACTAATATTAAGTGAAATTATTTTTTAATTTTATTATTTATTTTTGATAATATTTTATTTTTTTTATTATTAATAAAATATAGGTTTATATTATAAAAGTGAATAATATAAAGAATGATTTAGTATATTATTTAACTCAGATTTATTATTTTATTTTCATCTTAACTAATTTTATTAATATGAAATTTAATTCATTTTAAATATTAATATTTAAAAAAAAATGAATTTAAATTATTGAAAAAATATTTATTCTAATTTTTAATGTATTTAATTAGATAAATTATTATTACAAATTTATAATATTTAATTTATTAATACTAAAAAATTAAGCTTATCTGATTTGTTTCTTATATAAATACTAATTTAAAACTGAAAAAATATGCTTATATAAAACATTATAAAATATAATAATATAAAGTTTTAATATTAAATCTATAATATATTTTTTATTTTTTTAAATTTACAGTTTAATCAGAATATTAAATATCTTTAGTATAACTCACATTAGAATTTGCCTAGAATTTATATATTAATTTCAGCTAAAATTACATATTATAAGATAATTTTCAAATTTTATTATTTTATATATCCTATTTTTAAGCTAGTGATCAAATTTTAATGATCTTAGATTATTAAATTATTTTAATAAGAGGAATCTAATAATAGTAAATTCACATTTTAGTATTAATATTAACTGAATTATTGTAAAAATATATCTATTATGTGTTATTTATGAATTAAATAAAAGAAGTTTAGAGTCTTTTTTAACTATTAATTTTTAATATTATCAGCTGATTTATAAAATTATCATCAAAAGATTATTTTCAGTTTTTATATAAACTCATTAGAGTTTTAAGAATTTTAGCACTTATTTTTTCATTTTTGATTTTCTTCTAATTTTTCAAAAACTTTTATAAAAAAATATTTTTATAAGTATTAGATGTTAAACTATTGCCTAAATTTTAAATTAAATAAATATTATTAAGTAATAATTTAATTTTAAATATATTACATTTAGTAAAATGAAAAAAAATAAGTCAAAAATATAAATTTATATTAAATTATTTCTATCATTTATTATATATAGTAATATAATTTTTATGAAACTGATCATTAAGTGTAATAAAAATTTCTTATATAACTCATAAATAACATATAGTAAAATGTATTTTTTATAATAACTTGATTAATAATAACACTAGAAATATAATATAATTTTACTATTATTAGATTTTCTTATCAAAACAATTCTAATAAATTTAAGATTGTCAAAATCTAATCGCTAATTAACTTAAAATCAGAATATATAGGATAAAGAAATTTAAAAAATCTCCTGTAATATACAATTCTAGCTAAAATTTACATATAAATTATATATCTGAGTTATATAAGAGATTTTAGAATTCTACTATAGTTATACTTTAAAATTCTACCATTTTTTTTCTAGATTAATTTTTTTTTTATTTTTTAAAGTGCAGTAGTTCTACATAATCTTTATTATTATAAAATATAATATAAAATAAAATACAGATCAGAAGAAAAATGAAAATTTCTTAAAGAAAAGAAAAACTAATCTAAAGAAGACTAACTCTGTATTCTTCTGAATTAATTCTAATTTAAGCTAAAATTATCATTTTTGAGTAGATAAATAAAAAGAGCAGAAAAGGGCTTAGCTACTACTACACTAAAATTTATCTAATAGGATCCAAGTTATACTATGGTAAAAATCAGATTAGGATTATTATTAGGATTAGGAATTGCATATGGAAGATTAAAACTAGAAGAAACAAAGTTTTTATTTTTTCGATTAATATTAATATTTCAAAGTTTGACTGAATAACATATTCAACTCAAAACTTTTAGGTTTCTTCAAAAACAAAGTGCATTAAGAAGAAACATGCAACAATGGCTATAAGAATATGTGAATATGGTTGTAAATAAATTTAAAAAGATTGTTAGAAACAATTTCTTTAATAAGAATATAGAAGAAAGCAGAGGTTGATAAACTTCACCAATTGAGTCTTTTAATATCACTAGATTATGTATTGGTAATGAATTTAAGAAAATCTTTCATATATTGAATAAGCAGCTTCATTTTGTAATTAACTATAAGACAAGTCTAGATATAATAGAAATCTTTGTTCGTAGTATTATATCTAAGACATAAAAATAAGGACAAAAATAAAGAAGGATATCTAATTTTAAGAATCTCAACTATAGGTAATATTTCAAGTAGCCGTTGAAATTTCTTTTTTCTTATTGCAGAGGCTATGTATATTGTATAGTTAGTAGTGATGTTATCATTTAGGCAAAATGATGTAACATACTAATTAGGTTGAAAAAATATAAAGAGTGATGAATTGTTATAAGTATTTGTGATGGTAAATTTCTTTAATAAATACCTTGTTAGAATAAGAATAGGATGACTACTATGGATGAAAAACATTTAGAAGTAACTGCAATATTGAATAGTAAAGTCTAAAATATTGAAGCCACTTTTACCATTATGTCTACTTTATTGTTAAAAAAATTGTCTGAGTGCGCTTTGATTTTAATTAGCAAGACATTAAAGTTATTGACTGTGATCAGTTCAAAAAGACAAGACTAATGCATGAAATTATTGATTTTTAGAAAGGGTTTAAAGGTTGGAAATTATCTTAAAAAAAATTTATATCTATTAAATTGAGATATGATGACTGCTAAGTCAGTGTAAAATTTGACTTTACAATTAGTAGAAGCAGTCAAAAGTGCTGTAAAAAAAGTTGCAAATTCTGATAATAAGAATATGAAAAACTGGTAGAGAAGGAGATGTTAAAGAAAACTATTAGTGAATTTGGGTGTATTTATAATCAAGTAATCCCCATTTTTATTAAAGGAAGACTAACATCTTATAAGGAACTATTAGTATAAATTTCTATTTTAGTGGACAAAAGAAATTGTGAAAAGAGCATTAGTAATTCAGCTTTATGAAAGAGGAAATAAATCTATCTATAAATGTATAGTATATCAGAGAAGCAATAGGATACGATATTTGTAAAAATTGTAGTTGTGATACTGAGATGGTATAAGTAAAAGCAAGTTCATTAAAAGTGCTAACTGATAACATTATAAAATTATATTCTGAATAATAATTATTTGATAAAGCTGCATAGTATTCATGAGAAATAGTAAGATAGCAATTAATCTATTTGAATCAGCAGCTGATTGTTGATG